CCTTGGTTGCTGAAACCTGTGCAGTGGATGGCATGCCCCGATGCACATGGGAGTCATGACAGATCATTGAGGTCTGCAGAGGACGTCTGCTATCATGAAGGGCACAAAACATCGGACAACTCTCCTGGCCAAGCTTTGACAGTGAGTGTCTGAGCAAGTGGAGACTCTAAGGTGGACTGTGTCAGCCAACGGACCTTGGAAGGATTTCCTCATCCTCAGAGGAGTGAAATCAGCAGCATCTCAGAACCATCTAAATAGACTGCACATCAGGGATCCTGAGATGACACTGAGTGGTTGTCCCACATCCCCATGTGCTGATGTGCTGGGAGCGGCCCTCTCTCATTCTCTTTCCACTTCCTCCAGAGGCAGGAAGAAAAAAAGAGACCGGAAATAATTGTCTAATCCACTTTCCCTCATTCCTCGACCCTCCCCACCCTAATTGGTGGTTCACATGGGCATACATCCTTCTCAACTATGTAAACATCATCAAAAATAAATTTATTATGAAAAAAAGAAACTAGAGATGGAGATGCATATAGGGTCAGGGGTCAGGACTGATGACAGGGACACTCCCTAGGGCACACACAGGGTCAGGGGTTAGGGGTCAGGACTGATGGCAGGGACACTCCCTAGGGCATGCACAGAGTCAGGGGTTAGGGGTCAGGACTGATGGCAGGGACACTCCCTAGGGCACGCACAGGGTCAGGGGTCAGAAGTCAGGATTGATGGCAGGGACACTCGCTAGGGCACACACAGGGTCAGGGATCAGGACTGATGGCAGGGACACTCCCTAGGGCACACACAGGTGTCACTGTCCCGCAGGGATGGACGGAGCCAATAAAAACACGTGTGGGCTCTGACTGATGGTCAGTAGCCGACGTTTGTTAGTGGCATCAGACTTTATACACTAAGGGTCATATGGGATAAGGGAGGAAGAACTGAGCTTATCAACAAAACCTATCAACTGTTTCTATACTCTTGTTTGAAATACCTTTGTTTTGTATATCCCACCAAGGGTTCTCATTCACATGCTGTCCACTCAACTGTTCTCATACAAATGATATCCATTTAGGTATAGAATGGTACCCACTCAGCTGTTCTCATACAAATATTATCCTATCAATCATAATCCTGTGCTCACTGACCTTCGAGGGTCACAATGTCCCTTTACAAACAGGGTCAGGGGTCAGGCCTGAAGGCAGGGATGACCTTACAGGCATCGCAGTGGACACAGGCCTCTGGGCTACGCCATGACCTTGGGCCCAGTGTGATAGTGTAATGGTTAAGGTCCTCACCTTGAATGGTCCTCCCATATGGGCTCCGATTCTACTCCAGGCTGCTCCACTTCCCATCCAGCTCCCTGCCAGTGGCCTGGGAAAGCTGTCAAGGACCCTGCACCCACTTGGGAGACCCGGAAGGAACCCCTGGCTTCTGATCAGCTGTTGAGGCCACATGGGGAGTGAACCAGTGAATGAAAGATCTTCCTGTCTGTTTTCTTTCTGTATATCTGACTTTTTAATAAAAATAAGTCTTAAAAAAAAAAAAAAAAACTTGGGCACAGCACAATAGTGTAGTGGTTAAAGTACTTACTTTGCACGCTCAGGATCCCATATGGGCGCCGGTTTTAATCCCGGCAGTCCTGCTTCCCATCCAGCTCCCTGCTTGTGGCCTGGGAAAGCAGTAGAAGATGGCCCAAAGGCTTGGAAGCCTGCACCCATGAGGGAGACCTAGAGGAGGTTCCTGGCTCCTGGCTTCGGATTGGCGCAGCACCGGCCGTTGAGGTCACTTGGGGAGTGAACCATCGGATTGAAGATCTTCTTCTTAATCTCTCATCCTCTCTGTACATCTGCCTTTCCAATAAAAATAAATACATCTTTAAAAAAAAAAACTTTAAAAAGTGGATTTTTAAAACAAAGAACTAAGAGAAGTTTTAGGAGCCTCACAAGTGATCAAACCAAGTTTGCCAGGCTCATGGAAAAATTCTCAAGGGAAAGATGGCTAACCAGCAGCAACAACGGAAGGACTAAGAGTTCCGCGCGAGTGCGCAGCCTTCAGGAGCCTGTGGCCTCCAGCTAACTTCTCATACAAGAGGCACTGTCTTGCCGAAAAGAAAACAGGAAATATAAGGTCTATACAGATAATCAGGACACTCCCTGAGGATTCAGCCACTCAGAAATAACCAGCACTGACCAGTACCAGGGGCTCTCAGGACCAGTGGCCCCCCAGAGGGGGCGGCCTGAGAGACCCATCGCAGGGGACATCCGGCTGTGAAGGCAACTGTGGGTCCAGTTCTAGCTCCCGGCCCTTCATAGACGGTTTACAAAAGGGGCGGGTCTAGACCCAGACTGACACCAGACTGAACTGGTGGAGCAGGAGCCAGAAATAGAATGGGGAGCAGTTACTTCCTGTTCTCGCAGAAAGCAAACTAAACCAGCAAGGGACAGAACTCTGAATCGAGGCGGTTCCGACAGGGGCTGAGGCGCGACTTCCAGTGTCCCCTGCAAGCACGCTCTGCCACGCTTGCTGTGCTCCGCCTTGGATCGGCGACACCAATTCCACAGCTCCGGAGAAAGAAGGCTAGTTTGTGGCAACGCTAAGCGCGGTCACAGCTTGATGCGTCATTCAAAGGCAGCTGTGTGATCTGAAAATTTGGTTGCAAGGCAGGGTCGCAGACAGAAAGGGATAGAGGGATTTATTCCATTTGCTGGTTCCCTAGCCCTCAAAATGCAACAGCCCAGGAGGGGCCAGGACAAAACCAGGAACCAGGAAGTCCACTTGATTTTCCCACGTGGGTGTGCTACGGCCATCACTTGCCACCCTCCAGCAGGGGCTGGAAATGGACTCAGTTAGAAATAAAATACAGTGTAATAAGATAAACTCAAAGAAGGAGAAAAAAAGAAAAAGAAAAAGAAAAAAGCAGTGCGCATGTTCCTACTTCACGAGCCATATGTGGTTAATTTAAATTTCAGTGAATTCGAGTGAAGTGAAAATTGAAAACATTGTTGTCATTTCTGCATTACCTCTCTCTCTCTCTTTTTTTTAAAGATTTATTTATTTTTATTGCAAAGTCAGATATACAGAGAGGAGGAGAGATGGAGGAATTCACTCCCCAAGTGGCCGCAACAGCCAGAGCTGAGCTGAACTGAAGCTAGGAGCCAGGAACTTCCTCCTGGTTTCCCATGAGGGGCAGGGGTCCTCGACTGCTTTCCCAGGCCACAAGCAGGGAGCTGGATGGGAAGCGTGGCTGCCAGGATTAGAACCAGCGTCCACATGGGATCGGGATGTGATCAAGGCGAGGGTTTTAGCCACTAGGCTACCGCTCCGGGCCCTCTGCATTACCTCTTTGTTTCCATCTTTTCAGTTTTCAACTAGTGACCCTTCTTGGTCAGCTGTGACAACTGCCATTCTGCTGTGCGGGCCAGCAGCTTCTGATGTTAGCTGAGCGTGCAGACATGCGAAGGTTCACCGGCTGAGAGCACTGTGGTTTCTCTTAGGAACTGGGCGGCCTTGGGGAAGTGGCTGTCTGCACTGACTCCTGCATTGCAAAGTGGCGGTAATGGAAGGCTATTTGTGGGGATTCTGAGTTCATGTAAGTACAAATCGATGACCGTGAGCACCCCACGCCTTGCTCAGCAGACCACAGCCGAGAACACACTCGGACTGCTTGTACTGTGTAGTCTGTTCCCTGGAGTGGTGCATGTGCTGGCCGGGGCATGGTCATTTTGGGGACCTCTTTTCCCTTGACCCACTGAGATCCCCGAGAGCCTGCAGCCAGGCTCGGGGCCAGCATTGCCCTCGGGACCAGCACTGCCCTCAGCCTGCAGACCTCGGATCCCTGGGGAGCAGTTGCTGTGAGAGGGAGCGCCCAGGTTTGTTGCCCTGTGAGAAGGGCCAGGATGAAGCCAGAAGTCCCTCCTGGGTGGGCAGCAGGGAGCCATGTCTGAAGCCGTCAGCCGATTCCCAGGAGCAGCAGGCTGGAAATGGACGTGACTTGGAGACTTGAGATCCCAGGCAGCTTGTAAAAGGGGTGCAGGGGCCCCAAGCAGTGTTTTTACTGCTGGGCCAGAAGTCTGCCCGTACATTTTATTTATTTCAGAGGCAAAGAGAAACAGCAGGGGTGGGGAGAGAAGGCACTCCCATCTGCTTATTCACTCGCTCTCCAGCTGCTCGGCCAGGCTGAAGCTGGGAGCCAGGCTCACAACCCACATCTCTCCTTGTGGGTGGCATTAGCAGGACACTGGAGCCACATAATCCCTTGCAGACAATCTGGACCAGTGCCACATAGGGGAGGTCACTGCCCCGCCAGGAATGCAGGAAAAGGCACAGCTCCCCAGTGGATAGAACAGGGTGCGGGCCAGACAGGAGCCATCCGCCAGCAGCCGTGGCCCCTGCTTCCTCCGGCCAGGTCAGCAGCACTGGGCCCTGGGGAGCTGGGATGCCCTAGGGGCACGCCAAGCTGGGGAGGCGTGACTGTCGCTCAGGGTCCTGTGGCCAGCAGTCAGCACTGGCAGGCAGACTGCATGAACTGCCAGAGGCCTTGAAGGGGCGACCTTTCCCACTTGTGGTCAGTTCCCTCTGCTGACTGCCAAGGCCTGGGCCGCACCCCAGCAGCCTAGGCGGAGGGTCATCGCTGACCCTGTTCAGGACAGAGGGTCGCGGCCTCAAACGCCCCGGAAAGGACACGAACCCTCTCCCAAGCCGCCCAGCTAACCACTTTCTGGGGGCTCATCCGCGGGGTAGACAAGTCCAGCTCTGCACAAGGCCCCGCCCCTGTCTGCGGCCCCGCCCCGCCTCTGTCATAGGCCCCGCCCCACTCTGCCGGAGGCCCCGCCCAGCTTTGCTGGCGGCCCCGCCCCCGCCTGGCTAGCCCCTGGCTCTGCCGGAGGTTCCGCCCCACTCTGCCGGAGGCCCCGCCCCACTCTGCCGGAGGCCCCGCCCCGTCCGCGGCCCCGCCCCCTGGCCGCCGGTGCGCAGGCGCGGCAGTCCCCGCTGCCCTCACCGCAGTGCCGGGCGCCAGAGCCGGGCGCAGCATCCCGGGCGGCGGGTGGACTTCTCCCGCGGGCTTCTCCTGCTTCATCGTCGGCCTGCTCTCCGGGCGCCATGGCCAAGCCGCTGACCGACAGCGAGAAGCGGAAGCAGATCAGCGTGCGGGGCCTGGCGGGGCTGGGCGACGTGGCCGAGGTGCGCAAGAGCTTCAACCGGCACCTGCACTTCACGCTGGTCAAGGACCGCAACGTGGCCACACCCCGCGACTACTTCTTCGCGCTGGCGCACACGGTGCGCGACCACCTGGTGGGCCGCTGGATCCGCACGCAGCAGCACTACTACGAGCGCGACCCCAAGGTGAGGGGTGCGGCCGGCCGAGGCTGGGGAGCCGGGGCCGCTGGTGGCCAGGCTGAGCGGGAGGCGGCCATTGTGAGGCCCTGAGGCGGCGGGATGGCCGGGGCGGGGCGGGATGGGGGTGCGGGGCGCGGCCGGCTGGGGCTCAGAGGTGCCCGGGGTGAGGGGGCTCAGAGGTACCCGGGGTGAGGGATGATGAGGTGAAGGCGTGACGGGGCTCAGAGGTGCCCGGGGTGAGGGAATGGGGGGGCTCAGAGATGCCCGGGGTGAGGGGTGAAGGAAGGGGTGAGGGGTGATGAGGTGAAGGGGTGGGAGGCTCGGAGGTGCCCGGGGTGAAGGGGTGAAGGGACTCGGAGGTCCCCCACCTTCCAGGGTGAAGTGTGCAGCCGGGTCGGAGGACCCCCACATTCGGGGTGAGGGGTGGCGGGGTACGGCCCTCGGCTGGCTGCAGGGAGGTATGTATGGGGGGGTGCATTGGTTAAGTTGATGGAGCTGGGTTGTTCGAGGGTGGGATGGAGGAGAAGCGTTGGGTTACAGGTCGTGGAGCTGGTTTCACCTTGGTTCCTTGCAGAACTGTGTTAATGCCTTAGTCCCGTTACTCAGAGCTGTCCCCCCCAGCTCTGGCCTAGCAGACACACTGCTGTGGAAATGGGCCCCCCACAGGTCCTCTTGTGACTTCACTCACTCTCACTTTGTCACTCCAGACAGCTTCCCACGGCAAAAAGAAAAACCATAACAGTCACTTGGGGATTTACCCAATGTGGCAGGAAGTTTAAGCAGCTCTGATTCTAGTTTTGGGATTTGATTTTTTGGTTGATTGATTTTTGCCTTGGACATGGACCAGGTTGCCTTCCCTCTGCTGAGGTGAGGGCTGCTGAGGGAGAGGGCACCGTGCAGGTTGGCACCTGGTGGGCAGGCTCCAGATTGCCTTCCTCTGCTTGGGTGAGGGCTGCTGAGGGAGAGGGCACTGTGCGGGATGGCACCTGTTGGGCAGGCTCCAGGGCTCCAGGTTGCCTGCCTCTGCTTGGGTGAGGGCTGCTGAGGGAGAGGGCACTGTGCGGGTCTGCGCCTGGAGGGCAGGCACAGGTGGGCAGGAGACGTGTGGGCCAGGCAGTTGTTTTGCGGAGGGAGCTGTTTAGACATTTCCACAGCGTGTGAAGATGTATTTTGTAATTGCAAGTCGTCATTTTCTGCAGACTTACTGGGGGCCGTCTTTCTGAAGCAGGCCAGCAGGAACTGTTAAAAGGCCTGTAGGACCCCTTCCGTTTAGCATGCAGCACAGCAGAGAGCGGAGTGGCCCCAGTGGCTGAAGCGGGTTCTACCAAGGGCCTGGGACAGCTGCCAGGCCCACTGGCTCCCCCAGAACCCTCGCTAATGAATGCGTTCTGGCGTGCAGCGTCATTTGTATTGTCCAGGCAGCGGGTGACTGGTGCAGATTTGCCTGCCTTTCAAGGACATCTCCGCAGCTTGGGGCAGGGAAGCCCCTTGACAGCTGGAGGCCCCAGCAGCCTGTCTGTGTGGGGGAGGGCAGCGTGGGCGCAGGACGGCAGCAGGGACCTCCGCGAGAAGGTCCAGTCCTCTGACAGGGTTGGTTTCCTGGTCTCCTGTAAGTGCTCTGTTTGGACTTATGGTTGCTGTGGAGCAGGACGCGCCTTCTCACTAGCTTTTGGCCCCTTCTCCATAAACAAGCAGGAAATTGGAATGGGGCTGCCTCTCTGGCAGGCACTGCCTTGCTTTGCAGAGCTCTGTATTTGCAGGTTGTAAAGCAGCAATAAATCTGCCAGGGCCCTGGGCCAAGCTGCTTCCCAGTCAAGTCCTTGCAGAGTCTCCACGGGGCCCTAGGTGTGGCCTCAGGGCCGGTTAGAGTGGTGCTCAATGAAATGGAGTGCTTTTAGGTACTATCTGTGCTGACTGGACGGAAAACAGGAAGCACAGGTAAAGGAGAAGGAAAAAAAAATGATCGCTTCGCCACTTAGTAGTAACATTGTAAATACTGCCAATATTTTCTGTTCTCATCTCTGTACTCAGACACTGTTTTTTTTATGACACAGAAAAATATCATGCTGAACCTATTGTTTGGTAACTCTTGTAGTGCTTTATTTTTAGTAACAGCCAGAATAGTAGAAGGCATTGCTTTGAGGAAAGGCTGTTCCTGCCACCTGCCTGGCCAAAGCAAGTCGGAAACCTGCCTGAAACCCTGGTCTGTGCTCACAAGAGGCAGCGTGTGCTGGCGTTTTGTGGGTTTGGGGAGACTGGCAAGATCATGCGTGAAGTGTGGCCTGATGCTGCTCCCCCTGCCAGGAAGTTCCACTGGGAGCGCAGGGCCAGCAGGTGCAGGGCAATGAGACCCCTTTCAGACCCCCATGACCCCAGAACTCCTTTCAGCCCTGGCTTTGCCAGGGGGACCGTGACCTTGAGGATTGTTAATCTTTCTTTTATCTTGGAAACCAGGGAGTTGTGCTGGGCAGTTTACTTCTGAGGTCCCTTCCCATTTTGACATGTAAGACTTTTGTGTTGGGCCCGGTGCGGTGGCCTAGCGGCTAAAGTCCTTGCCATTAACGCACCCCGTTCTCATATGGGCTTCGAGTCTGAGCTCGGTGGCCCTGGTTCCCATCCAGCTCCCTGCTTGTGGCCTGGGAAAGCAGTCGAGGACGGCCCAAGGTCTTGGGATCTTGTACCTGTGTGGGAGACCTGGAGGAATTTCCTGGCTCCTGGCTTCAGATTGGCGTAGCACCGGCCGTTGGGGTCATTTGGGGAGTGAATCATTGAACGGAAGATCTTCCTCTCTGTCTCTCCCCCTCTCAGTATTTCTGACTTTGCAATAAAAAGACTTGTGTGTACTTATAAAGTAGTTCCTTTTTTAAAAAAAATTGATTCTAGCTCCATGCAGAAGAAATTTAGGAAAGCTTCACCAAGAAGAAACACAAAAGGTTCAAATGAATGGAAGACCTCAAAGCCAGCACTGGGGGCGTCTGTTGTGTAGCACTCCCCACCCAGCTCAACAAAACCGGAAATTACAAGCAAAAAAAATTTTTTTAATCAATTAACAAGCACCTGGATTCCAGCCTGCTCCACTCTGAGTTCCAGCTTCCTGCTGATACACTCTGGGAGGCAACCAGTGATGGCTCAGTGGTTAGGTGCTTTATTTCCATGTAGGAGACCTAGGCTGAGTAGTCAGCTCTGGCTTTGGCCTGGCCCGGTACTGTCTATTGTGGCTATCTGGTGCCGGAGTCCAGCTCCAGCCGAGTTCGGAACCCAAGACGAGTGCGTGGAGTCGGCGTCGAGAGGAAAGAAATGGACCATTATAATTCCAGGATCATAATGGGCAACGCGGGAAAGCTGTCCCCTTTCTTTATACAGAAACCCTCATGGGCTCTGGTGCAGACTTTTTTTTTTTTTTAAAACATTTTTTTTTTTAAGATTTTTTTTTTAATTATTTTTTCATTGGAAAGGCGGATATACAGAGAGGAGAGACAGAGAGGAAGATCTTCCGTCTGATGATTCACTACCCAAGTGAGCGCAATGGGTCGATACTATGCCGATCCGAAGCCAGGAGCCTCTTCCGGGTCTCCCACGTGGGTGCAGGTTCCCAAAGCCTTGGGCCGTCCTCGACTGCCCCCCCAGGCCACAGGCAGGGAGCTGGAAGGGAAGCGGGGCTGCCGGGATTAGAACCGGCGCCCATATGGGATCCCGGGCGTGCAAGGCGAGGACCTTTAACCACTTGCGCCACCGCGCCGGGCCCCTCTGGCGCAGACTTTTAATGTCATGGTCAAGTGGGTGCATTCACCTAAAAACTCTCAATAGGAGTTCTGAATAGATGGTGCATATCAATCAGTAACACACTGCTACTGGCATCCTCATTCTACAACTCAATCTTGAATCAGTTAAGGGAAGAAATGTATCACAAAAAAGAAGGAACCGAAAGATCAAGGATGGTCAGCTGGAGGAGACAGCATGAGTGATAAAAGGCCCTTCGCAGTTATCGGGGACATTAACCTCCAAGCTCACATTGAGTAAAAGGCCAGCTCCACAGTAGCAAACAATGCCTGGATGGATTAGAATCCTTCCTCGCGGTGGTCCAGGGTCCACGCAAAGGAAGGTGTAGCTGCATTCAGGTGGCTGTGGAGACGTCCCCTGGCCCTGCCATACAGCGAGAAATGGAAGAATCCTTCACACCTTCCTGCCCTCCCCATCCACTGCACGGACCCCAGCAATCTGGGGAGTGAACCAAGTGGATAGATGAGCTCTCACTGCTTCTTCCTCTTGCTGTGGAGCTCTGAATTTCAAAATAAATACAGAAAGACAAAAGTATTTCTACCAGGGGGCCCCAAACACTGTCTGAAATCTATCTAATCCTCTCGTCACTGTGCAGACAATCCGTCTTAGTGGCTGGCTGGCCACGGGCTCCAAGAAAGGTGATCTAGAACGGTGTTGGCAAGCCTGCCCGTCTTCAGGTGCTCACCCTGGGCCTTTGTGTTAGGGAATGGTGGGGCTGCCTGTGTTCCCACTGGCCTAGGTGAAGGTGACCTTGACTCCTCGGATGGCCTGCTGACAAGGGGCAGTTACTTTCTCTGATGATGGGCAGCTGTTGTCAGTGCCCCTGACTGCCAGCCGAGTGAAAAGCTGGCTGACGCTGTTGTTTTACCGAGGTGATGCGGATGATAGGGTTGAAAAAGTCGGTGGGTCTTGAATAGAGCCGATGTGGATACTGGTGGGTGCCCTCCAGACAGCTCAATGCTGAGGTCGTCTACTGCAGGTTGAGGGCAAGGCCTTCAGAACTGCTCCCGACATGGGTGCCAGTTGTGATCCCAGACCCCCTTTCTGGTTCTCTCAGTGGCTGGCGAGCTGGAGAACAAGAATTTGTGATGCGGTGTCTCGTGCCGGGGCCTTGGTTCTGCTTTCCATCTAACTCCCTGCCAGTGTGCCTGGGGCAGCGGCAGCTGACGTCCAAGTGCCTGGGCCCCGTCGCCTGGAGGATTTCCTGGCTCCTGGTGTTGGCCTGT